TTAGTACGACCGTATATTTTACTTTCCTTCAGTACATTGGTACGACCGAATGTTTTACTATCCCTCAGAATGTTAGTACGACCGTATATTTTACTTTCCTTCAGAATGTTAGCGCGACCGTATATTTGCCCTTCTTTCAGTAGCTTAGTGCGGCCATATAATTTACTTTCTTTCAGGACGTTAGTGCGACCGTATATTTTACTTTCCTTTTGGTTAGTATGTTAGTACGGCCGTATATTTGCCTTTCCTTCAGTACGTTAGTGTGACCGCATATTTTAGTTTCCTTCAGAACGTTAGTACCACCCTATATGTTACTTTCCTTTAGTGCGTTAGTACGACCATATATTTTACTTTCCTTCAGTACGTTAGTACGACCGTATATTTCACTTTCCTTCAGGACGTTAGTACAACCGTATATTTTACTTTCCTTCAGTAAAATAAGAGTCGTAGCATTCGTTATCTAGATATGTGTGATCGTAGAACCGTGGAGCCGTAGACCAGTAGAGCCGAAGAGTCGCAGAACCGTTGACGTAGAGCCATAGAGCGGCTGAGTGGTAGAGCGGTAAGGCCGCAAAGCCGTAAGGCCATAGAAGCGTAGAACCGTAGGGCCGTAGAGTTAATTACCTAGATAGCCGTATAGCCGTAGAGCCGTTGAGTTTATTCTCTAGATACAGTATAATGTTTCATCATTAAGATGTAGAATTCGTTATGTAGAAATGATGGTTAATGAACGAGTTCAGGCATAGGGCTTACTAAAAACTTCTACAACAGCCAGCATGGCAACATGCCACTTTTTGATATGCACCCGCAAGAGAAGAAGTACAAAGTGATCGGTGATTAAAGCGTAGAGGTGTCGCGCTCTATGAAATTTCTACGCAATACGAGGTTCATAAAACGGGCGCCAGTTGTAAGAAAGGGCTAATGTAACAGAGAAACGGAAAAAGGAAAACTTGTATTTCATTATTTCTCTGAGTCTTAAGGAACAGAACCTCTGAACAATAGAAATTTATTATGCATGTTTGTAACCGACCTTTTGAAACCCAAGTAAGTGACACAAAATGCGACTTAAGTGTAACAGTTATTACGCATAACCTAAGGCATTTAACGTGGCAAATGTCACGTTTTTTAACACGAAATCTCTATTGATACAAAACGTTTAACTTAGTGTTTGTTAAAGGGAGTTGATAATTAACTTGTACGTCGTGGTTTTACGCTTAAAATAGGAAAGAAAATAAGAACATGCCGGACAGGGATGGTCAGAGATTTTATTACTTGGTCACGCGGCTAATACTAACTTAGCCAAGTTAGCTTGGGTGATCAGATAGAAGCGGTACTTTCTTTGTGGTAACGTCTAGGACTACGATGACTTAACGAATGCTTTAAATGGTGTTACATCTCCTTAATTATTCTCTTACTGTTACATTTTGCATTATTCTTTAACAATGCCATTGGGCTTTAACTTCATTTATCGCCTCTCTCGCTCGACAGATCATGTCATGTTATTGCTTCTTCATACCTACCTAATTAGCCTACATACACCTAATTAGCCTAGATATATTAGCTGTCCACTTGTTTTCATCTAACTACATGACTCTGAAATAGAGCCAAAATATTGCAACAATCTTTTCCCACTACAATAAACCAAAACTTGGTTTTCAACAATGTTAACAATCCTCGGACTTCTCTTGCTTATGTTACTAGCTCGATATATAAATGATGTATGACCTACAAATTAAAAACTCAGTAAAGTGGCATCAAAACTGCCCTGGTTTACAGAGGATCCATTTTCCAAGTTGAGTGACTCATAACCACTTTGTTTATTACAATTTTGTAATACTGCAGTGTCTGCATAACATGATTATCAAGTTTCTATTTCAATTTAAGAACTGATCAGAATTGCTAAATACCTTCCACTTTGAAGCATTTGGGCTCTTGGCTTCTTCTGCTCGGTACCACTATCTTTGATTGCTGCGATGAACTCTGCTTTTCTGCTGATGCATCCGACGAGAAAGAAAAACAATTAATGTTAGGGCAGTCTTAGAGGTTAATCCTTTGAAAGAAGGGAATAGTAACAGTGATCCAGCCTAATAGTCACCGTGACTGGACCTTCGCATTGCACCAAAAAGAGCATGGTAGACCACATTTTTAATGCAGTTTTGTAATACTGTAGTGCATGCACAACACGATTATCAAGTTCCTATTTCAATTTTAAGAACATCAGAATTGCTAAATACCTTCCACTTTGAAGCATTTGGGATCTTGGCTACTTGTACTTGGTACCACTATCTTTGGTTGCCGCAATGAGCTCTGCTTTTCTGCTGATGCATCCAGCAAGAAAGAAAGAAATTTAATGTTAGAGCAGGCTTAGAGGTTAATCCTTTGAAAGAAGAGAATGCACATACATTTTCAACAAGACGAGTTGGCTTTATATTTATCAAGACTGGGAACCTGATGTTAATATCCTACATCATTAAAAACTGGATCACTGGCTAACGCAGTTCAAGAGTTTTCATTGGCTTAGCAATCATGCTATATGCGCCGTTATACCGTACTCTACAAATATGGTACGTGTACGCGTAATCGTTTAAGGCGTGTGTGTGTGTGTATGTGTGTTTTTTTAATCTTATCTTAGTTTTCTACATTTTGGGGGCGTTTTAAATAAAACAATTATTCCACTCGAGCTCGTTGGATATGAGATGATTATAGGCAACTCATATCCAACAAGTGCGAGTGCAATGATTGTTCCATATCGTATCTTTTCAAAACGCTTCGGCAACAGATCAGGTGAGTTTGGTTGAGCCATGGGTCATATTTGGCGAGATGTACTCAAGCCAAAATACGCAGGGTGAGATCAAACAAGCCTGATATGCCACCGAAGCGTACCACAAAGGAACGATTAGATATTTACGTAACCAAATTCAACCAAACTTCCGGAGATATATTTTTAGCTACTGTGATATGTCAGGCGTTCCTGTTATGTGGCGCGCACGAGTTTAAAATTTGGCAGGGAAGTTAAGAAACCTTTAAAGCCCCGAAAACAATTTTTTTTACTCACACAAAATTACTCTCCTTGAAAATAGCCATGATACCGTAGCCATATCAGTTCAGTGACTTGATATAGCAGGATTTAGGACAGTAAACACGACTACTCAATGGCTAATTGCCAATTTAGGTACGGTAATACAAACACCACAATCTAAATGACAAAAATAAATCACTTAATTTTTTCTCAAGCATCTGAGCGGGCCGGATTCCTAAATCCTCGAATTTGATTGGCTAATCATACGCACGTGACCGGTCCAGCTTTTTACGATACGGC